CACACACACACACACACAGAAGAGACGTCGCAAAATGCGTTTCTGCAAATTGCATATAGACAGAAACGCATAATAAGAAAATATGACTTTCTAGGCAGTTGCTGAAATGCGTCATATGCCTGCTGCTCTATCAAAAAGTACGAATGATTTGACAGTGGACAACAAACTGAAATTTGCGGATTATGAGGTAAATGCATGCGCCATTTTTTACAGTTTAGAGTACAAGATTTGCCGAAAAATTATTTCTCTTTTTTCAGGGCGTTCGTTTCAAATATTTCGTTGTTCGACAAGAAATAGAAGAAAATCATGATTTACTGAAAACACAGCTGGAGAAGATGGAGCGCCAAGAAGTGCCAGGATACGTCGAGGATGAAAAGGGCGAAAAGAAGAAGGTACTTTTTAATGAATTTAACTTATTTAGAAAGGCAAGTAGACTTAAAAAGTTGGGGGCATTTATAAATACGATTCGAAATTTTTGCACGAGTTTTTACAACTTCAAATGTAGTTGTGGAGCCAAAATCTGAACTGAAATAAAAGGGGATGCGATATGAGCAGGTGTATCATATGCATTTACATTTTGCTTAGTGATTCACAATGCAATAATCAGGCATTTTAGAGCCTAAATTATGAAGTTGCTTTAGAAGCCAGTTGAAGAGGAATGGATCAGTCAACCTGGTGCCTACACAACTCTGGTACAACGGAAATTAGTGCGTCGACGTTTGGCCGATGAAAATCGCCGCCTTACGGAATCTGAAGTAGGTTAAAAGCAATACAAGTAGCAACACACCACCACAGTCTTTCAGCTTCATCCTTCATATTTTCAGCTGAAATGTGCAACTAGGCAAACAGACAGACAGCCAAGCAAACGTGCATACACCCCGTCGTGGAAAGCATTAAATCGTCCCGGCTCGCAACACCAGTAAATTCTTTGTCGTGGACGGTGTTGAGTTCTTGCCGCGGTAGCTCTTCTGTCCGCTCCAAAGAATTTATACTAAATAAATACAGTTCTAGGCCGACGGAGTGGCCTGGTAATAGCAGTAGTAGTCCAAGTTTTTCAGTTGGGCGCAAAACGTCGGCCTTTCTTTGATTATGTGGCGAATGCAGCTCGTAGGTTCCTTCTTTACTGTGTTTGGCGAGCACGGTGCGTCGGCTCCTTCAATTCCTTGAGTTCGCTTCTT